ATGAGTCCTTTCCCGTATGAAAAAGATTGCGTGAATGCAGGTCTTTGGACACAAAGAAAAAAATCTTCATAACCTGTTTTTTTCCACAGTTTGCTGCAATTTCCCAGCTACCATCCAGGTGCTCACTTCCAGCATTTTTAGTAATCATTTCCTCCTGCAACAATACCTCGATTCTACACCCTAATGCATTTTTTTCTTTTTGCCATTTAGTTTGAGGAAGAAATTCCAACGCTGTTATTTAAATTTTGATACTTAAACTAAATGCCGATCACATTTATAAGAGGTTTTTGAGAGTTAAATACAAAGCGCTCTCTCTTTTGTGCTAGTCTGGAGTTTATAGAGTAACATAAGTAAGAAAAAAAATAAGTTAGCTGGTGAATTAGTGACAATGAAAGTTAGCACATTAATTACCAGTCTTTTATTCATTATATCTTTTTAAAACAGATTTATCCTGATGAAGATTTTCCTGTAGTTTATAAACCAAAGCTGTCTGTGTTTTTGAAACAGAAAAAAAAAAATCCAAAAAGTCAAATTTGTCTTTCCTGAAATAAGAGCAATTTTTCTTGCTTCTTTCAGCCAACTCACAGACATTATTCAACACGGAAAAAGCAGCTCCGAGCTCCTAAATGCTTTGTACAGCCAGATTAGAAATCTGATTACATTCTGATTACACAAGGAGATATTAAACAGAATATTAGCTCTTCTGTCTTAATTTGTGCAGGGAATGTGGAGAAATTGATGAGGTGAAGATTGTACACAACGCTGATGCATTTGTTTCTACTTAAGTTGTCTTTCCACTTTAGAACGTATGAAATCATCAGACCGTGTTCATGGTGGTCTGAATAAAATATCACTGGAAATGTAAACTCACTGGCCTGTTCCTAATAATTCCTTTGGCCTTCATGTGGTGCTCAAGTAGCTTTAGGTTTTAAATTCCAAAAACTACCTGCTAAGTAGGTTTTTGTGATACAAATTGAGAGAGGTATGTGAAGAGACGCTTTGCTGTCATTTCTGACAGTGACGTTCTTCTGAGACACAGAAGCTCAGGACAGGTGGGCTTGTGATGCTGCCCCCGCAGGAGACATGCGGTTATCGTGTCACATGAAGGTCAAGATTATTGCCTCTTTATTATTGCTTCATTGATTGAGGACATGGCCTGCACTCAAGTAATTGTAATTAAGATGCAACGACCAGGTTTATTTGTCTTGTTTGTTCTGCTTGTTTAATTTTAGATGTAACCTGTTCATTTGAATGCAGATTCATTCTGATTTTGTAAGGGCGACAGAAAGGACAAACATGTGCAGTGGGTTCTTTGATAGGGGTGGCAGTCTTAAATCGAGCATGTCCCTAACCTTTACCGGATCGGAATGCTCGACTTAAAAAGGCATGCCGTTAAATTCATTCAAAATATTGGAATTTCTCACATCTGATGCAATTAAGGAGAAGAAAAATCACATTTTTCAATACCTGAATAACTGATCACTGACTACAGCTTATCAAGGAAAAATGTAATTATCTTTGGCTGATTGACTGTCTACTTACAATTGTCAGTGAAAAGGGAGTAGCACCTTATTTTTCAAGGACACAGAGTAAAAACTCTACTAAGATAAGAGGAGGATTGCAATTTGACAAATAAACCTCATGGCTATAAAAATCCTGGCACTTCTGCATTGACGTTTCATTCTCTCTGGAGTCTTACATAAGCCAGCACTAAATCTCCAACGTTTATTCGAGAAACAAACGCCACTATTAATTATTGCCCAGCATAGTTGCACGATCACAATCATATCATAAAGAGCTTCGTGCTAAAGGCAGGAAAGCCTTTAGCAAGAAGGTGGCAGCGGTGGTGTTGGTCAACATATGGAAACAGCAAAAGTGAACATGTGTCAAAGGGCCAGCACTTTAAATGTCTACAGATCTCGTTTCAATTATCTGGATTTTCCGCTGAGCTCTAAAGCAACATGGTGGGAAATTCAAGCCACTACAAGGATTCACAGACAGAGACAATTTTGGAAATACGGACCGAAAGGAGGTTGATTGAAAGTGAACAAAACAAGTATGGTTATTTCGGTGATGAGGGCTCGGCCGTACGGGCTGTTACAGTAAACAGAGGGACATTATCGCGCTTTCGCTCGGTCATATGTTTACGGATTCTGCTTGCTGCACCCGCAGCAGCGGTACCAGTAAAGTACAGCGGGATACACATACATACAGAAAAATTAAGCAAATTGCCCTCGCTTCCGAGCAATCGTGTGCACAAGCTTGACTCCTTGTTATGCGAAGACGGTGACAGCAGGAAAAAGCTGCAGCCGCATGGGGCACGGTTGGCTCCGCTAATGTGGAGGTGAGGGTTAAGTTTGGGGCGAAAGCTTCTCACGTTAGCCCCCCGCCGACCACTCAATCAGGCAGCCAGATACTCTGTGATGTTACAGAAAAAAATACGAGTCCAGGGTGTCTGAAAATACCGACAAAAACCCTCCCCGTTCCCTGTAACGGACACAGGAGCTGCCATGGCTAGCTACAAGTTAGCACATGAAAACCTACGTTAGTTGAATAATTCGGAGTCACTAAAAATAGTTAGCCTCCTCGTTTTGCTGCCTTTGTGTAGCAGAGAAGAGACAAACTTACCGTTTTTTTTTTGGTTTGTTTTGTTTTTTTCCGGGTAAGGCAGCACTCATACAGTTTCACAGACCCATTCCCAGTCAAGTGTCATAGCAGGGCGATGTGGACCAGCTGGGTGGTGAGGGGGACGCGCGGACGGTTGGAGTCAGCCGGAGAACTTGCTCCGTTTCAACATGGAGAGCGCAGAACGGGCTCTACGTTCTGGTTGCTGCGGTTGCCCTGGCTGCTGCCACGCAGCATGAGCTCTTGCGACACCTGTGGTCGCACATAGGTACTACATGTACTGCATGGGCTCGACAATGCCTTCCATGCCAAACGTTCTGTTGTCATGTTACAACCATACGCTGTGAAGCACTTGTATGAAATAAACTAACACAAAGGTACACGCAATTATGAGGAAAAAAAAAGATACATTCGGAAAAGTGTCACATTTGTGTTCAGTTAAGTCTTTTGGGTTATGTTTCTACAAGCTATGCAAATGAAGACAATGAAATAGCTTGCAAAATAGATCAATATCAGTCAGACTGAAACTAAGAGTGTCTGTTAACAGCAATGTTTAAGGCTTGGTTAAAAATTCTTCAGAGCTACTATTAAAGTTTGATTGAGATTGTAACACAAAGATAGCATATTCTGATCCAACCCAAATTGGTTGTAATTGTGGCTGTACATGTCCTTGTGAAAGGCAAATGCTTAAAGTCATTTGCATCCACTTTCAGGACGTGTCCTATATTCAGCCACCATTCATCTTTCAGTCAAATCTGACCAGTTTGGTTGAATATGTAGAAAATACACAGATGCACAAAAACAAACAAACAAGCAAAAAAAAAAAAAAAAACAATGAAAGCATTATGCTGCTTTAAAGTGAGAATTGTGTTGAGAATCATAAATATTTATATTGGTATAATAATGATTCACAAGTAGGACAATTTTTTTTTTTTTTTGTCTCATCTGACCAGAGCTCTTCTTCCACATATTTTATGTATTTTCTATGTAACGTATGACACACTCCAAATTTACACTAGTCATCCGCAATTGCAAGACTTCGGGGTGCATAACCAAAAAAAAATATCCCGTCTACAGATTTTCCCACTTTAGCAATGGGGTTTCTTCATTATTATTATTTTTTTGTTTTAACAATTTGTTATTTACAACTGCAGGCTTAGCGAAAGGCAGAGTTTTTTTTTTTTTTTTTTGACAATATGCTGTTAAGTAAAATAAAATTACTGGTTTATTTAATTGACTGATTTTGAATGGAATCCCAATGGAATATCTGTACTCTTGGTATGGCAATCTCACCAGCCTAAATTGTATTTCTTTTTCTTGAAAACCACAGAAGAAAAACGAAAAACAGAAAGAGCAATCCAAATGTCAAATCTATTTTTAAGTCCAACTTGTGAATGTGAGAGACATCAAACAAGCCTGACATGGTGAAGTGAGGGAGATAAATGGGGAAAACAGGAAGGGGCTCATTGAAGCCCTACGTTCTGGTAGAATCTTAGTTTACCACCACCTTGATACCTCAAAGTGGTTCCATTTAAAGTACACAAGAGCAGCAGGTCTTTGTTTGTTTAGAGCTGCAAATGTTTCAGGTCTCTGCAAAATGCTGTTTGTCCAGAGAGAAAAGAATCAGAAGGTCAGTGTTTATGTCTGCATGGGGTGCAGAGACCTACCTGAAATGTAAAAGCGTATTGTTGCAGAGATGTGCAGGACCATCCTCCCCTGCAGGGGCTATCATTTTGGTCATACATCTTTCCCTATGATTAATTAAATTCCAAATATGGAGAAATGTAGAAATATATACTATATACTTTTGGGTTGCAAAAGTGATAGTGATAAAAATCTCCTTAGTTTTGAGAATTTTGTGAAGCATTGTACAATCAATCACCAAAAAATGAAAGGAGTATGGCACAACTAAAAATTTACCAACATGTGGCAATACACCTAAACTGACAGATGCAGCAAAGAGAACGTTTATAAGGTAGCAGCTAAGACGCCTTTGGTAACTCTGGAGGAGGTGCTTAGGAGGTTGAATATGTTGACAGGCTCATTATTAAATATGCAACCCATAAATGTAACATTTTTGTATTGACTGAATTTATTTTATCAAATATATTTGAAAAATGTCAAATTTTCCATTAACTTCAGAATTATACTCTACTTGTTATATCTTTTCAACATAAAGTTAAAAACAAAATTTATGATAGTGGTTGAATCTAATAAAAGTTCAATAATTATGATAATTTGTGGAATAAACTTAACATCAGCTTTTAAAAATGCAAAAAAAAAAAAAAGTGATAAAATATGCAGAAAAATCAACACAAAAACACATTTTGGCAAGACGCTTTAGTTTTATTGGCATTGAAGCAAATAGATTCTAATAAAGAGTACATTGTTGCCACAATGTTGCAGCATCTTTAATCCCATTTAATTTTACATATTTAAGAAGTGCATATCTTCTGCTCATTTTACATAGTTGCGTTGAACCAGCAAGCATCTCATAAAGCATTTTAAAACATCTTTAAAAAATTTACTATTTTGTGTTCCTATTTCTCATTAAAAAATAAGTGCTATAAATCAAACTATATATAAAAAAAGAAACGTACCAAGCTAATGGAAAATCCTGCTGTTCGAAAGATTGACAAAAATATGTACATTTTTACTTTTCCAGTGACTTTTAATACAGAGGAAGTGAGCATAGCTGGATAAGAGATGTCTCAGGAAATGAAATAACATGTTTTTTCTAAAGAATGTACAGCATAGAAAAAAGCAAAAAAGACAATTGAAATAATGTCTTAATTAATAATACAAACTGGTGCATTATATATATTTGAACACATGTACAGCCAGTAAAATGCTCTTCTTGAAAGAAGTTCCTGAGATGAAATGAGGAATAAGGTAGATATTCCATTTCAAGAACCACTGGCCAGAATGTAACATAAACTACTTGAAAAGAAACACCCTCTAATGTTTGAAATGGACAGTGTGGGACAAATGCATAAATGCATCCAGTGCATTCGTCACATTGCAGTGCATATAAATACAAAAGAGACCACAACAAATAAACTCCTTCATTAAATCACATTGCACAGTTCATATTGGCTAACAGTTAGTAAGGCAAGGAGAGAATAACTTAAAAGTTCCTTTAAAATATCACATTATCCCTGTTTAACAACTAGAACAAATAAGATAAGTGTGCCCTCTACTGGTGGAAACGCATGAATGCTGTTTTTAAGGCACATGCCACCAGCCTTTCTTTTGTACAGTTCGATTTAAAAGTGTATTTAAAAATATCAAAACAGTATACAATAAAACTACCTGAGCAAAATAAAAATCTGTGAGTCATTTACAGTAGAAAGCATTTTTATAATAATTGTGCAGTGCAAAGAAAATGCAGAGAATTTAAGGCAGAAGCATAAAAAAATGCTGTTTCCTCATTTTTTTAAACAAATAAATATAAAAAAAGAGGATTAAACCCTTATAGGTTGATATTTCTAACAAACATATTCCCTTTAAACTTGTTTGCTCAGTTATTTCTCACCCAAAAAGAGAGGGAGAGATTTAAAGAAATAAAAAAGCGGACTAATTTCTCCTTTTGGGTTCTACGTTTTCATAAATTGAGATGGCAGCTGTGTTCTGGTAGATTAGATCCACATTGTTCCCTGTTCTCGCTCGGATGATGTCCAAGGCACACTGGTTTAGGAAGACATACTGGTCCTGTAGTAATAAAACAACAATAAAAATCAGAAAGTGTTTGTGATGTGAAAAGCTGCAAATAACAGAGTAGATGTGTGGTATTCATACCTCCGTCTGCACCATAAGGGGCCTGTGCATTCGCAGATCATGAACAATGCCGTACACATCTACAATGTTTTCCCTTTCGATCTGGAAGATCAAGCGATCAATGGCTATGAAGGTGCCTGTGCGCCCGACTCCAGCACTGAACGCAAAACATCAAAACAGAAAGGCGGAAAATGACAGGAGATGGCAGGTTACTTTGCACACTTCCAACCAAATGAAAGCATTCGTAAATTTGTTGGGGTGTTGCGTCCAACCTGCAGTGAACCACTGTGGGGGAGTTTCTGGAATACTGGTTCATGTGCTCTCTGACCAGATGTCTGAAGCTGATCAGAAGCTCAGTGGTTTCTGGAACGCCGTGATCCGGCCAGGCTGTAAAATGGAAGTGGCGGACTGAGCGGACTTCTGTTGTTTTCACCTGAGGTAGAAGGAGGTCAGCGTTGAAATAGTAGTCACAAGAAGATGAATAATCAAGACAGGGCACATCAAAAACCCTTGACTCAGAACTTAAAATGACAAATCATCTGCAAAGCACACTTTATGCATACCTTTTGTTGCATAGTGTTAGTAAAACAACCACATTATTACTGAGATTGTGTGTGTGTGTGTGGGGGGGGGGGGGTGCGTGTGTGTGTGTGTGTGTGTGTTTTGGAGAAGGGTGGGTTTCAACATAAAGTTACATTTTTTATGTCAAAATCCCTGATGGTCCAGTCTTCAAGTTGGATTTCAGAAGTTGTTGTCACAACTATTTCTTCATAGTATTTGGTGCCAGGACTCCAGTACTGCTCACATTTAACCTGAAAGATAGTTGATTTGCTTTTAGTTTATGTCTTATTCAAAAACTTTAATTGTTGTTATATTATATTGCAGCTGATTTTTATTTCGTAGATGTCGCTGGACTTATACATGCTGCGTTTAGATAAGCTGACTTTGGTAAACACACTGAAGCAAAAATATTCCTGTTCTGCTTCAACAATTTGTGAAAAATGCGTATTCATATTTACTTAGATTCATCCATTAAGAATCGAAACTCCAGTGTGAGAAAATAACACTGGTTTTTATTCAGGTTAATTCTATTGAAAAAGGTATTCATTTTTCTTAGAACAGATTTCGCCTTTATGGAGCTTCCTATTTGCCGTGGGGGATTTTTTTTTCTATTGGACTCCCTCGCAAAATTATTGCATTTCCATGTCGTACTTTTACATTACCTGGCTACATTTTTGCATTCACATCTAATAAGTTTTGCACTCCAGTATGGTTTCCCACAACAGATTTTGCATTCTCTCGCTTTAATGTACTAGTCAGTTCATGCGACATTTTTCTGCCATAATATAAGGTTTATTTATGCTTTTCCCAGGGATATTAATAACTCAGTGTAATCTGAAGTTTTATATCCTTTTCTTTAGGTTACAAATCCACTATGATGCAAAGAATTTCTTTATGTTCATACAGTACTCACTCTTCCTTGTTCATTACAGCGTGTTAGCATGACCAGAGTTTGGACGTTCTTCTCCCAGATCATCCTCCAGAACTCGTTGACAGTTGCAGGCAAAGGTCCCTGAGCAGCGATGAACTCCTTCCTGGAAAGGTAACCCTAATGTGCAAAAAAAAAACAAACAAACAAAAAAAAAAACTTCAGTATAAAACATCCATAAAGTTAAGTTTTCACAAAGATTCTCAAATGGGGAATGAATGTAGATTTGGTTCAAAGTGAACCCAAGAAACAAATGAAGTGTTATAATGTGATCATAAGATGCTTTAAGGTGAAGCAATGACCAAAAGCAGTTGTAAATAATGTCAGGACGCACCGGCATGTAGTTAGCATTGATGTAATCTTCATTTGGACTTCCATGGACAACAGAGAGTTTCACTCTTGAGGAGTCATCTAGGAGATGAATAAGTATGTAAATGAAGTATGAATGATTCATTTGAGTTAAAATTAAAGAGTTAGATGATAAAAATGCTCATTACAAGCAGAAACAGTGGGGTTCTCCATGTGTTATAGCTAAGATATTATTGTTGGAAGAATGAGGATTAGTTTTTTCAATAACAAAGAAAAATTTAAGGTGACTTACAAGGAAGCACGTTGTTGTAGCGATTTTTAGGCTTGTTCTCAAGAGCCAGTGCATGCAGTTTTGCTTGTGCTGTACCAACAGGCTTTAGGTCCTTTAAAAAATAGTTTGGTAGATTAACTTGTGGGTACAGAAGAAATAAAAAAAACAGTAACTTTAAAACTATAAATTACTTCAAATGTGTGATTAAAGGAAGTTTAATTGTTTGTAAATCCTGTTGAGATGTCCTTATGCATGTGGGCCCAGTGTAAAATGTAGTTATAGACAAGTATTAATGGAAAACAAGCAAGTTATTGATCTATTCTTGCGTAACAATCTTGCATTAACTTGGTGAATTGAAAAAAGTTCATTTTTCTCTTGTTTTTTCCAACAACTGGTGTGTTTTGATGCATGTTCCACTGTTTTTCATCAGTCTGGGCCATGCACTAATGTTGTCTCTTGTATAAAAGCATAACTGCACAAATCAGAATAGCTGTGAAATGAACAACAAGGCAGAAACCAGGACATTATCAGATCCACAGAAAACTGAAAAAGTCAGTTTTCCAAGAATCTTATCAGTCATTCTGTCAAGTGAGATGTAGTGTCTGGTCTGGTCTGTCTGTCTGTCTATATGTTTGTGGTGCTTTACCTCAAATTCTTCAGCGAAGCCACAGCTGGAGTCAGCTTTCTGCTTCCTGTAGTAAGTTTCAAAGTCCTCCACTCTCACAGCCACACTTCTGCTCATTTAATTAACATTGTTCAGAGAGGAGAATAAATATTCTCCAGAAAGGAGCAATATATATACATATATACATATGTATTAATTTAAATGTCTTATACTTACACTTTCCCCCTGAGAAAATAAATAAAATGTAATAATTACATAAACAATTGTGGACTTTGAGTTTGAAATGATAATCATTAGGCAAAATCTTAAATGCTCACCCCACTGACTCAATCTGGATGTCAGGAGACTCCTTACGGGATAACCTGCAGTATGCAATGTATGAATAACGTTGAGCATCTGATTCGATAACGTTGTTTTATTTTCATTGATACAAAGAAAAAAAAACCTTTTCCAATAGATGATGAAACCAATAAGGATGATAAAAAGAACTCCAAAAATTCCCAGCGTTGCTCCAATAGCAGTAGAGGTGATAGCTGTAATTTTGTAAAACCAAAGTTTATAGAGTCAGTCTTGAGAAAAAACAATTTAAATTACATAAAATTTAGAATAAGCGCATAAAAGTCCCATTTTGGCTCTTTCAATAATACCTGGGTCTTTGTCGAGAATAATCACATCAGACAAAGCTGATATGGAACACACTGATTTCACGGTGTCAATTTTTCCTGACTTCACAACCAAATAGGTGCAAACCACTACGGCATACCTGCAGGACAAAAAAACAATAAAACATAGTTTATATTTTCTTAAATTTCTATATTTGCAGAGTATTTTTCTTTTACAGTATGCTTTTAGTTCATACTTTGATCTCATCCTGGTATAACTTTTGGAGTTTACAGTTTTTTTCCATATATTTCTACCACTGAAGACATTTTGTCTCCCTTATCAGTCTTTGTTAAAATTATTGAAGTACGTAAAAATTGAAGAATAACAAAAACACAATTAATATATCCAATTTTCTAGTATAAATATCTTAGTTCACCTGAAATAATACAAGTGTACTGGTCTTATTTCAAGACCAGTACACACAAAGTTCTGGTGGCAGGTTATTTCACTTATTAAATCTCTTGTTATAAATGAAAAAAAATCTGCCAATGTAACCAATACCTTTTCATAAATATTAAGCAACTACTGACTTAAAACTAGCCCCTCTGTCTTGCTGAAAAGTTACTTGTAAGTTAAATTAATACTTACAAGTACTTTGAATGTTAATATGGTATGTTTACTTTTACTAGAGTGTACACTTTAATTTGTTTATTTTTACTTAAGTACAGTGTTTCAGTACTTTCATCATTGCATCTTACAAACTAGAGAGATCAAATACTTTAGCAGAAATAAAGAGTGTATTTTCAGCCTATAATTTATTTTTAGTAATTCTGATTTTCATTTTTGGTTATGACAAAAAGATTAAGAATAAAATAAACATTTTCTATACTCACTTTTCTTTTTCATTACTTATCTTGACTCAGAGAAAATTGAAAAGATAAATTAATCTAAAATGATCAAGATTGCATAAACTATGAAACAACCATGTGAAAATTGTTGGAATCAAATGGTAAATAAAGCAAACTAAAATACATTGCAATTTAAAACAAAATACACTATCACCCAGTAAAGTTGCCAAAGATTTCCGTGTAAAGGGAAATTGGTTTTCTTATACCTGTAACTTCCAGTTGGGTCCAGAGCATCATTAGCATAGCCTTCCCACTTTGATCCATTTCCTATCTCAAAGTCCAAGTTAACAGAACTTCTCTGGAGCGTTTGGATATAGTTCATGACTGTTGCAAGATATGCTATTGCAGACTTTGCTCTCCATTCGCTGTATGTTTTCCCCAGGAAATTTTCGATATCAGTAATGTTGGCTTAAAGAAGATGAAATACACAGAATAATAAGCACTGTAATATTTTTCAAATCTATTTATTGCAGGGTCACAGGAGCGCTTCTTGAAATTAAGAAAAAAGAGATAAACCCTACCACTGTCATCGCTTGTTACCAGAATCCCAATGTGAGTCACTGGTCCTTTAGAGTTGTTTATCTGGCCAGTCTGAATACGAAGTGTGAATGTATTGTGAGTTTTAGACATCTGCTTCCCAAAGCCTGATGGAATCGGGGGCTCTGTATAAAGTTAAGGAGAGGAATAAAAACCAGTGTATCAAACTAATAGTGAGTAATATTAGCTAAAGATGAAAAACAATCATTGAATAAAACAACATATAAATGGAGCTAATAAATGGATCCTGCTTCACTGACCTAAAATCTTAAAATGTTCTACATATTATTTACATGCAATAATTATTCAAATATTCAGTGCAAAAACGAAACAAACTTACTTGCAACACCTGTCTGACATGTTTTCCACTGAGGAGTGCTAGGTTTCCCACAACTCTGAGTCTCTACTTCAATCCCATATATAGAATGGTAAGTAAGGTTAGAAATAGTGTGTTCAACACCGTTCGCATAAGAAAGTGTGGAAGTGTTGGTTACAGTAAACTTGAAATTAGAGTAGTTTCCTTTGGGTTTGGTCCAACTCAGAATAATTTTTGCATCTCCATTGTTTGGTCCATTACATGTTAAGTTCCTCACAGGACTTGCATCTGTCAAAATGAAGTGCATATAAATATTAGTAAAAAGAAAAAGTTGTTATTGGTTGAATGTGTGCAAAAATATTTTTATTTTCCTTTTTTTGTGTGTGTTTTGTATTCAAAACACAAAAAAAACAGAAAAATTCACACAAGACCAAGTCCATGTAGGACTGTATAAAGGATGAAATGCTATGAGCATACTTGTGCAGCTGGACACCGTTTGTGTGGCAGATTCTGTTCCATCAGAGGTCTTGGTGATGATGGTGATGTTGTACTCAATACCAGGTGTCAATTCAGTGATGCTATATGAAATTCCCTCAGTTGTGGTGTTCCGAGCATGTGTCCACTCGCGGCTTTGCCAGGTGACAAAAAAACGATAGGTGTCCTTATACTGATCAGGTCGATTCCAGGTTAGATTGATATGTTCCTCATCAGGATCAAGTTTGAGAGACTTCACGTTGTGAGGACCTGGTGGTTTAATAAACAAGTGAGAAATGTTACCGGTAATCTGGACAACTAACACTGTGTTTTATGTGAATTTTTTCAAAGTAGTGTATAAACAAATGTGGTTTGAGCTGAACCATTCAATGGCTTTTTCTTAAAGTTGTTTTCCATAGGCTGGACCTACAATCCAATCTCAAGTCATCTGCAGACTCAAAATATAATATGATCTAGTATTGCCATGTATTTAGCCCACTTCATCTTTTAATCAGCTCAGTAGATTCCCCGTTCCTGCTGGAAATGTGCAATGCCAGTTTTCATTGCATGTTTATATGCATGTCAAAACTGTAATTTTGGTCAAATTTGACCAGAGCGTCTTCTTTGACATGTTTTTTATATTCCCTTGTCCAAAAAGGACATATTTTTGCCCTCAATAAATAGCTGTTGTGTGGAACGATTCTCCCACTTCAGCTTTGAATGTGTGGAGCTCTTGCAAGGTTACCATGGGCCTCCCGGCTGCTTCTGATTAATACACTTTTAGGTTTACAGTTTAGGTTTACAGTACTATTTCACTAGATTTACAGTTCCATTTTTGGACGGTGACTCAAACCGTGGTCTTTGATATTCTTACACCTCAGAGCATTGTTTTATTATAACCTAAATCCCCTGTAAATGTCTTCACACTTTTATCCATGAACCTCTCTGCTGTATTTCTTGGTCCATGTGATGCTTTTTCGTAACTGATTCACACTAACAAACCTTTGAACACATAAGAGCTGTTTTTTTACCCAGATTATATTCCAAAAATATGGTTTTTATTTACGAAATAGGTGTGATAGCAACCCACTGAGCAAAATTCTATTTAGAGATAAAAAGTAGTAAATACAAATTTAAATCTTGTTGGTCTGTAGCATAAAATGAAATACACTGAAGTTTGTGGTTGTAACAGATTTTGGAAAGTTGTTTTTCTTTCATAAGACATTGTGAAAGTAATTGATATAGCAGATTAATGATAAATAAAATAAGATTCTTACTCATGGTCTCGTTTATGTAAACAGATTTACTCTCAAAATATATTGGCCCAACAGTTGTCACAGAAATGTTGTAGGAAGTCCCAGACAGAAGTTGGGACAAAATGTTGGGACAAAATGTTGGGACAAAACGATGCACTTACTTGTGTAATAGAAAACCGTCACAGACTCTGCTTGAGTGTGATCTTCTGTAATTGTAGTGACGGTAAAATTGTATTTGCTCCCAGACTCAAGACCATCAAATGTAGTTGTTGTAGTGTTTACCACTTTCAACTGTGACACATTAGAGACAGCACTTCCAAGCTGCACTTCATAAATGAAGGGTGGTTTGCTGCTTGGCTCATTCCACTCCAGGGTTACTGAACTCGTGGTGACTTTCGTCTTTGTCAGACCCGTCACCGAATTTGGTCCTAAAAAACAGGATAAAAGTGATGATAGTAAATAGGTTTACTAAAGCCTTTTTAGGTTCGATCGCACAGGAGGGAAAATTATAGGAAAACTAACACAAGATCATACATTAGGAAAAAGTTCAGAAGAAGTACGTCTTTAAATTTTTACAAATGTTTTATAGGTGTTAAAATGTATGACTTGGATGTTAAATCATTCAGAACATATAACAGAATGATCAAACTTAATTTGTCAATTTATTTAACATTTTTAAAAATGATCATGTGCAAAAAAGATTCCTCCAAATATATGAAATATTCTATTACACACAAGAATTCAATAATATGAATTTAGCTGTAGTGCTTATTGAATTGTTAGTGCAATTCTAAAATTGAGTACCACAAAGACAAGATTTCTGAAACTTTATGACAAAACCTGTTGTTATTTTATCCACAGTAAAGAGCGTGATGAAACTGGCTGTTTGTGTTTACTCACTTGTATAGATTTGTGTGCTCCGTTCTGTACTCGTATAGTTCAACGCACCAACAGTGACTACAGAAACTGTGTACTTGGATCCTGACTCAAGGTTTTCCAACAGGAACCAGTTCTTCTGGGTATTATTGAAGCCATTTATAGTGACCACAGTGAAGTACTGGGAAGCACCCATGTTAGCTGGAAGGGGCCAACTAAAATTGATGGATTTGTTGGTCTGAAAGTCCACCATGATAGCGCCAGGGGGGTTAGGAACTAAGCAGAAGGATAAACCAGGTCATAAACATGAGAAAACTAATGCATAATGCAAATGCAGAAAAAAAGCAAAATCACTAAATTTAGGAAACTTACAAGTTGCATTGGAAACACGTATGTTGTTCTCCTCAGGTCCACTTTTAGTGACAACCTCAACATGGTAAAGCACTCCTGGTTTCAAATCCTCAAATCTAAACTGTGTAGTCTCCTTGGTCAGATTTGTGTTGTTTATCAAGGAATTTGTGCCATTGTATAACCGGATAAAGTATGAGGAAACCTGCCCAACTGCTTTTGTCCAGCTCACTGACAAGCTGGAGGTGGTTCCTATGACTGAAAGGTCTGAGACCTGTGCAGGAACTAGAAGAGAAATTTAGAAACAAAGATGAGTATCATTCAAAAGGAAAAAAAGAAAAAAAAAAAAGAATCAAATCTGAACAAGAAATGCATTTTTGCTTGATCTACAGGTATTGTTGAAAATACATGCATTTAATCTAAAAACGTATCCAACAGACTGGGTGGGCTAAAAAGTTTGAAAGTTGAAAAACATGAGCAATGCAAAGAGTTTAATTCTCACCAAATAATTATTCTGGCCATATATAAGTACTGTCACTCAAATAATCAGAATAATACCTCGGTGCTATAATTATACAGCTATAGATATAGATATTGACATATATATATTTAAGTACACTTATAATTTATATATATATATTTTTTTACTTAGGATTTTACCAAAGATTTTGCATAAACTTTATTTAACTGGAAAAAAGATCCTGTGAATATAATGAGATTCTATACTTTTGAAGGATTAAATGAGTTGTCATCTCTCTCTGTGCTGATTTGTGTCCCATACTTTCTTGAGGGCAAATTCCATTTTGCCAATTACCAATTATCAATAACTATGATAATTTGTAATTATCAAGATAAAAAGTACTGCAAAAAGAATAGTTGTGCACAATGTTTTCTCCTTTCACTATATAATTTGACCCCAGAGAGCAACATTTTTAAGTCTTTTAAAAATTTATCTTTTTTTATTTGTTTTTCAGGTATGTGTGAGGGAAAAATCAATCAAAAATCTGTCAAAAGACCTCAGTTGCCCTCTTTCATCCTCTACTCAATACAAAGTTCTTATTTAATAACTTTAGGGAACTATCGACTAAGATTTCTTCAAAAAATTTGTTTAAATAAATTATTTAAATAAAAGTCAGACTCCTTGAAACCAAGATCTGATCAAATAGTTTGTATAAACAATGAAATATTTATGTCTTAATATTCCGGAAGTGTGTATGACATACTTGTATATTTATTTATGCTTGCGTTTGTTGATTTCACCCCTTCGTAAACTGTTGACACCTGAAATGTGTACAGGGTTCCAGGAGTCAGACTGTTGAAGGAGGCGGTCTCATTGGGCGTGGAGGTATGGTAAACTTGCTCACTGCCCAGAAATGCTTCCACCAGATACTTGTAGGAATTCTTGTAATCCGCTTGTCTGCTCCAGGAGAGCTGGACGGATGTGGTGTTCACAAAGTTCACATTCAAATTGGTCACTGCGTTGGGCACTGAAGCAAGAATAACAGAGGGTTACCTTAGGCCAAAGGAACGCCATATTCTCAACATTGAGATAGCATTGATCTTCATATAAATACTTGTGTAACTGGACACCTCCACACAACTTGAATTTGGAGAATCTATATTAAATATAGATGAACCACCATATGCATGTGCATCACCTGCTGCTAAATGAATGTGAATATCAAGAAAATACACTTTCACATCAGTCTCCACAAATCTTCTCTAACACCAAGAAAAAATGCCACAGTTTTAGCTTGTCACTCTATAAGGCATTTAAGAACTTGCAAAGTTCTTAAAGACCCAACATCATCTCATCTCAAGATCTTTATATATTGTTACACCTCAGGTTACAATGCTCTTTGGGTCTGATCACATAAACTTACAAGTGTAAGCATAAATGGTGACTGGAGTGCTCCTCAGTTGCTCCGGTCCAACAGTGGTTATACTTATGGTGTAACTGGTTCCAGGCTGAAGATCATCTAACGCTATGTCCGTCTTATCTGTAGAGCAATTCTTTGACACACTGTCATTTGTATGATTGTAGGTGATAGCATAGCTGATATCAGGAGCACCTTCCATCTTTTCTGAAATATTCCACTGCAGGTACAAAGACGAGTTTGTCCTTTGGTAGATGTTGAAGGACTTGACATATAACGGATCTAAAAGGGAGAGAAAACATATGCAAACACAAACTAAGTCTGATTTAATTACAATGAAAAGTCTTGTCTGTTTTCTGTACTAAGCTGAGCAACAAGTGTTTTATATTCATCAGTGACGTTGGTAAAATGTAGAAAACATTAGTTGACCTAAATTGACCTACCAACCAAAAAAATATATGTTTTTTTGTTAGTAGCTTGAAAAACTAAAAAACTGGTAAAAATTAAAAAAAAAATATAAAAAAAAAAAACAGGTAGTGTATAAAACATACTTCAATACAATGTTAGCAAAAGAAAATTGGTTACTTAGGTAAAATTCATACCAATATTTGGTCATTACTAATGCCAGAATTACTCAAAAAGATGTTATAATTTGGGGAAATGTGGAACTTACATGTTGCAAATGAAAACTGATCAGAGGTACTGGTGAACGTTCCAGCGACAGCAGTCACTGTGAAAATGAAAATCCTTCCAGGGAGTAAACCAGAGAACACTGCTCTGGTGGCATTTACTGTCAAGTTGCTGTAGTTACTGCTTGAGTTTGAGATGTTCACGCTGTAATGGTCAACCCTTCCTTCAGGCAAAGCCCACGTGATGGTGATATTGTCACTTGTTCTTGATTCAACTTGGACTTTCACAGGTTTTACAGGCCCTGTTCAGCAAAGTAAAAAAATTAGTGAATGATATTCTCAACAGTCCTGATTAATAACAGGACAGACGCAAGCGTTTGTTAAAAACAATTTGTCCGTGAGCATACACAAGAGTCTCTAAAAACAGCAACCAGAATCTCATTATTTTTTTTATAGTTACCAAAGGCTGAAAAGCCTTTCAAAGTCATGATTCATATTAACACAAAAAGCCAGGCATATTCCTCCAGTCACATCCAGTAACAGAAATAACCATAAAGTTGACCTAACTAAAGTATAAGGCAGAGTGAAAAAAGGAGTTCAGATTTTAATGAGACTGAAGAGTTGAATTTATCATAAACCTCAATAAAGCTGAGGCAACATCTAATTTAAGGCCAGCTTTCCATATTCACACTTTGGATCATGGATCCCTAATTGGTTGGGTCAGGATATTTCACAATTTCCCAGAAGAGAAACCTCCTTCACCCTATCAGCTCAAGTCAATTAACTAACCAATGTCAATATTCAAAAACGAGTGAAATCTCAGAATAATTCTCAGCCCTGGTCCTCAGGACCCACTGTCCTGCCACACACCTGACTGAAATGAATGGATGACTAACTGGTTTAATTTTTTTTGTTTTTTTTTTGCTATTTCAGCGGGCCAGTACCTTGTTGTAGATATTTAGCTTCAAAGATTATTCATTCGTCTATGTTGAGGGTGTCTGCTAGAATCAGATTTATTGGGAATTATACTTAACAAGAATAAACCAGGAATATTCTGGAAGGAGTATAAGACTTCATTTTGTTAAATATCTACATAAGTGTCTATACATTTGTTCCGTAAAATATCCTTCATATTTTTATTTCACCTTTTACACTACCAAGTTTCAAACTCTAGTAAAACACAGTCCAATTGCCATGTCTTTTTCTTGAGTTGGGCCAAAGCACAAGTTCTATGGAGAGACAATAATAATGAGGAATATTTAACAATGAGATATTCTACAAATAGCAGACACAAAGGAAAATACCAAGCTGCAAACCAGTTAGAAGAGATGAGGGTAATAACAGGCAGAACTGCATTGAAGGACATTTATGAATAAAAGAACATGCTAAGAAAATCAGGGGAAACAGGATCCTGTGGTGGTGCAGGGGTAAAGCACAACCCATATTTGGAGGCCTTGGTCCTCAACACAAATTGCACAAAACCATGCAATGAAAATGACAAGAAAGTAAAGAAGTCAGAAAAGTAAATTGCAACATTATTCAAGTACAGATAAATAAAAAACAAAATTACTATAGAAACTCAAAGTTGAAAGCATCACTGCACTATCAGTTTTTGTACATGTGATTTGTCTCCACAAAGAGCAGAACACTGTTACTTGTGGAAAACACTAATAAATTAAAAATCGATCCAGCTACTAGCAACAGCATAAATTCATTATTTTCATCTCAACAAGGTTTTACTGAAAATTTGCTTGTAGGCAATAGCTTATTAATGTATTCAGTTGATAACTTAAACACCATGCTGCATCTTTTGTAAAAAAAAAAGAAAAAAAAAAAAGAAAACGCTTCTATGCTGCAATAAGAAACAACTATTGTAAGACTCATGGGTGTCCAGGTACTGTGATTCTCCTTTGTAGAATAATCCACAGAAACAACTGAGCTCTTTTTCAGTGTTGAAAATTTAATTTCTTTTCTGCTGCATAATCAGCTGTCCCTGAACTCAGCTGTCTCGCAAACCACCTGCTTTCCGAACGTCTGCCCCTCTCCCAATCCGGGGAGCCTTTCACAATAAAACACTTCCAAAACATTTTACATTTTCATAATTCCTATTTTCAGTCTTGGACTATTACCAAATACATTGCAAGCATGCAAAGTCTAAAAAAACAAAAATAATTAAGTATTTTCTTGCAATCCAGGGAGTATTTTAATCATATTGTATGCACTGATATGAAACTGACGATAAAAAAAGGGATATTGTGCAGAAGCTATAAAACAGACATTTACATTTGATCTCCAGGTCATTTTTCCATCTGTCCACTGTACAGTAATGGGGTGACATTTGCAATTTCAGTGACATAAAGAGGTGGATCACCTGAGGTTTTGTGATAAACAAACGTTCAGAAAGAAAAAATGATGGAGAAATTTCTAAAAACATTTTTGTTGTAAGTGCAAAATACATCCATATGTTTGGGGATTACTTACTTGTGTATTTGGAAGTAGCCTTGCTCTCTCCTTCAGTGAGATTATCAGCAGCTACCGCAGTTACAGTTATTGTATACTGCTCACCAGCAGTCAGATTAGAAATGGTCAGAGATGTTTCAAACACATTTCTTTGGTGATTTATTCTTCCACCTTCCCATTGAACTCTATAGAAAGAGCTGCTTCCCGTTGGTTTTGTCCAGTTCACAGATAGAGATGATGTTGTTTCATTAAAGACTTTGAGGGCTGTGACTACTTCAGGCTCTGTGAGCAGAAATCAGTATGTTGCAAACATTTTAAAACCAAAAGGATAAACATCTTGTCAAAGTGTGACACTTAGTAGCAGGCTCATAATCTTACTTGTAAATCGACAAATGTTTCTCCCATCACTCTCTGTTTTGTTGTCTCCAGCCACAGCTGAGACATTAAAACAGTAGTTCTCTCCAGGAGTCAGCTCAGTCACAATCGCCTGAGTTCCACTAGTATTCAAATGTTTGTTTTCATTTTCCCACTTTACTGTATAAAACAGTCTTTTCCCCTCAGGTTCAGTCCAATTCAGAGACACAGAGGTTGTTGTTACCTCAGTCACATTAAGATTGTTGACTGCTTCAGGTTCTGTTCATGAAAGAGAAGTTCATGTAGACTAAATGTCAGTCAAAGTACTATATTAGTATTTTTCGGATTATTTTTCACTGTAGCACGTTACTTTGTCAGAACTCATTAATCTATATGGAGAGAGACTCTCTGAAAGTCATGGTGTCCATTCATGTAGACTAAATGTCTGTCATAGTAGTATATTATTGGTATAAAATTATCAATACTAACTTGGTATGGCTTGGGAAAATAGTCAGTGACGGCACCAAAACTCGGAATATATGTCTTCCAGAGAGTTGGATTTCAACAGATAACAGTAAGGCTACATTTTACTACAAAGAGACTACTTATTTCACCCTTGGTTATTTCTAAATGTTGCAACCATCAATCGATCCATCCATCTCTAAATATGTCCCAGAGATTGAAGCTCACTCACTTGTGTATTTGGAAGTAGTCTCACTCTTTCCTTCAGTGAGATTATCAGCAGCTACAGCAGTTACAGTTATTGTATACTGCTCACCAGCAGTCAGATTAGAAATGGTCAGAGATGTTTCAAACACATTTCTTTGGTGATTTATTCTTCCACCTTCCCACTGAACTCTATATAAAGAGCTGCTTCCCATTGGTTTTGTCCAGTTCACAGATAGAGATGATGTTGTTACATTAAAGACTGCGAGGGCTGTGACTACTTCAGGCTCTGTGAGCAAAAATTAGTATGTTGCAAACATTTTAAAAACAAAACGATAAAAATCTTGTCAGAGTGTGACACTTAGTAGCAGGCTCATAATCTTACTTGTAAATTGACAAATGTTTCTCCCATCACTCTCTGTTTTGTTGTCTCCAGCCACAGCTGAGACATTAAAACAGTAGTTCTCTCCAGGAGTCAGCTCAGTCACAATCGCCTGAGTTCCACTAGTATTCAAATGTTTGTTTTCATTTTCCCACTTTACTGTATAAAACAGTCTTTTCCCCTCAGGTTCAGTCCAATTCAGAGACACAGAGGTAGTTGTTACCTCAGTCACATTAAGATTGTTGACTGCTTCAGGTTCTGTTCATGAAAGAGAAGTTCATGTAGACTAAATGTTAGTCAAAGTACTATAATAGATAATATTTTTCACATTATTTTTCACTGTAGCACGTTACTTTGTCAGAACTCATTAATCTATATGGAGAGAGACTCTCTTAAAGTCATGGTGTTCATTCATGTAGACTAAATGTCTGTCATAGTAGTATATTATTGTATATATCAATAATAACTTGGTATGGCTTGGGAAAATAGTCAGTGACGGCACCAAAACTCGGAATATATGTCTTCCAGAGAGTTGGACTTCAACAGATAACAGTAAGGCTACTTTTTACTACAAACATACTACTTATTTCACCCTTGGTTATTTCTAAATGTTGCAACCATCAATCGATCCATCCATCTCTAAATATGTCCCAGAGATTGAAGCTCACTCACTTGTGTATTTGGAAGTAGTCTCACTCTTTCCTTCAGTGAGATTATCAGCAGCTACAGCAGTTACAGTTATTGTATACTGCTCACCAGCAGTCAGATTAGAAATGGTCAGAGATGTTTCAAACACATTTCTTTGGTGATTTATTCTTCCACCTTCCCATTGAACTCTATAGAAAGAGCTGCTTCCCGTTGGTTTTGTCCAGTTCACAGATAGAGATGATGTTGTTACATTAAAGACTGCGAGGGCTGTGACTACTTCAGGCTCTGTGAGCAAAAATTAGTATGTTGCAAACATTTTAAAAACAAAGGATAAAAATCTTGTCAAAGTGTGACACTTAGTAGCAGGCTCATAATCTTACTTGTAAATCGACAAATGTTTCTCCTATCACTCTCTGTTTTGTTGTCTCCAGCCACAGCTGAGACATTAAAACAGTAGTTCTCTCCAGGAGTCAGCTCAGTCACAATCGCCTGAGTTCCACTAGTATTCAAATGTTTGTTTTCATTTTCCCACTTTACTGTATAAAACAGTCTTTTCCCCTCAGGTTCAGTCCAATTCAGAGACACAGAGGTTGTTGTTACCTCAGTCACATTAAGATTGTTGACTGCTTCAGGTTCTGTTCATGAAAGAGAAGTTCATGTAGACTAAATGTCAGTCAAAGTACTATATTAGTATTTTTCGGATTATTTTTCACTGTAGCACATTACTTTGTCAGAACTCATAAATCTATATGGAGAGAGACTCTCTGAAAGTCATGGTCTCCATTCATGTAGACTAAATGTCTGTCATAGTACTATATTATTGGTATAAAATTATCAATAATAACTTGGGATGGCTGGGGAAAATAGTCAGTGACGGCACCAAAACTCGGAATATATGTCTTCCAGAGAGTTGGACTTCAACAGATAACAGTAAGGCTACTTTTTACTACAGATAGACTACTTATTTCACCCTTGGTTATTTCTAAATGTTGCAACCATCAATCGATCCATCCATCTCTAAATATGTCCCAGAGATTGAAGCTCACTCACTTGTGTATTTGGAAGTAGTCTCACTCTTTCCTTCAGTGAGATTATCAGCAGCTACAGCAGTTACAGTTATTGTATACTGCTCACCAGCAGTCAGATTAGAAATGGTCAGAGATGTTTCAAACACATTTCTTTGGTGATTTATTCTTCCACCTTCCCATTGAACTCTATAGAAAGAGCTGCTTCCCGTTGGTTTTGTCCAGTTCACAGTAGAGATGATGTTGTTACATTAAAGACTGCGAGGGCTGTGACTACTTCAGGCTCTGTGAGCAAAAATTAGTATGTTGCAAACATTTTAAAAACAAAAGGATAAAAATCTTGTCAAAGTGTGACAGTAGCAGGCTCATAATCTTACTTGTAAATCGACAAATGTTTCTCCCATCACTCTCTGTTTTGTTGTCTCCAGCCACAGCTGAGACATTAAAACAGAAGTTCTCTCCAGGAGTCAGCTCAGTCACAATCGCCTGAGTTCCACTAGTATTCAAATGTTTGTTTTCATTTTCCCACTTTACTGTATAAAACAGTCTTTTCCCCTCAGGTTCAGTCCAATTCAGAGACACAGAGGTTGTTGTTACCTCAGTCACATTAAGATTGTTGACTGCTTCAGGTTCTGTTCATGAAGAGAAGTTCATGTAGACTAAATGTCAGTCAAAGTACTATATTAGTATTTTTCGGATTATTTTTCACTGTAGCACATTACTTTGTCAGAACTCATAAATCTATATGGAGAGAGACTCTCTGAAAGTCATGGTCTCCATTCATGTAGACTAAATGTCTGTCATAGTAGTATATTATTGGTATAAAATTATCAATAATAACTTGGGATGGCTGGGGAAAATAGTCAGTGACGGCACCAAAACTCGGAATATATGTCTTCCAGAGAGTTGGACTTCAACAGATAACAGTAAGGCTACTTTTTACTACAGATAGACTACTTATTTCACCCTTGGTTATTTCTAAATGTTGCAACCATCAATCGATCCATCCATCTCTAAATATGTCCCAGAGATTGAAGCTCACTCACTTGTGTATTTGGAAGTAGTCTCACTCTTTCCTTCAGTGAGATTATCAGCAGCTACAGCAGTTACAGTTATTGTATACTGCTCACCAGCAGTCAGATTAGAAATGGTCAGAGATGTTTCAAACACATTTCTTTGGTGATTTATTCTTCCACCTTCCCATTGAACTCTATAGAAAGAGCTGCTTCCCGTTGGTTTTGTCCAGTTCACAGATAGAGATGATGTTGTTACATTAAAGACTGCGAGGGCTGTGACTAGGCTCTGTGAGCAAAAATTAGTATGTTGCAAACATTTTAAAAACAAAAGGATAAAAATCTTGTCAAAGTGTGACACTTAGTAGCAGGCTCATAATCTTACTTGTAAATCGACAAATGTTTCTCCCATCACTCTCTGTTTTGTTGTCTCCAGCCACAGCTGAGACATTAAAACAGTAGTTCTCTCCAGGAGTCAGCTCAGTCACAATCGCCTGAGTTCCACTAGTATTCAAATGTTTGTTTTCATTTTCACACTTTACTGTATAAAACAGTCTTTTCCCCTCAGGTTCAGTCCAATTCAGAGACACAGAGGTTGTTGTTACCTCAGTCACATTAAGATTGTTGACTGCTTCAGGTTCTGTTCAAGAAAGAGAAGTTCATGTAGACTAAATGTTAGTCAAAGTACTATAATAGATAATATTTTTCGGATTATTTTTCACTGTAGCACGTTACTTTGTCAGAACTCATTAATCTATATGGAGAGAGACTCTCTGAAAGTCATGGTGTCCATTCATGTAGACTAAATGTCTGTCATAGTACTATATTATTGGTATAAAATTATCAATACTAACTTGGTATGGCTTGGGAAAATAGTCAGTGACGGCACCAAAACTCGGAATATATGTCTTCCAGAGAGTTGGACTTCAACAGATAACAGTAAGGCTACATTTTACTACAAACAGACTACTACTTATTTCACCCTTGGTTATTTCTAAATGTTGCAACCATCAATCGACCCATCCATCTCTAAATATGTCCCAGAGATTGAAGCTCACTCACTTGTGTATTTGGAAGTAGTCTCACTCTTTCCTTCAGTGAGATTATCAGCAGCTACAGCAGTTACAGTTATTGTATACTGCTCACCAGCAGTCAGATTAGAAATGGTCAGAGATGTTTCAAACACATTTCTTTGGTGATTTATTCTTCCACCTTCCCATTGAACTCTATAGAAAGAGCTGCTTCCCGTTGGTTTTGTCCAGTTCACAGATAGAGATGATGTTGTAACATTAAAGACTGCGAGGGCTGTGACTACTTCAGGCTCTGTGAGCAAAAATTAGTATGTTGCAAACATTTTAAAAACAAAAGGATAAAAATCTTGTCAAAGTGTGACACTTAGTAGCAGGCTCATAATCTTACTTGTAAATCGACAAATGTTTCTCCCATCACTCTCTGTTTTGTTGTCTCCAGCCACAGCTGAGACATTAAAACAGTAGTTCTCTCCAGGAGTCAGCTCAGTCACAATCGCCTGAGTTCCACTAGTATTCAAATGTTTGTTTTCATTTTCCCACTTTACTGTATAAAACAGTCTTTTCCCCTCAGGTTCAGTCCAATTCAGAGACACAGAGGTTGTTGTTACCTCAGTCACATTAAGATTGTTGACTGCTTCAGGTTCTGTTCAAGAAAGAGAAGTTCATGTAGACTAAATGTTAGTCAAAGTACTATAATAGATAATATTTTTCGGATTATTTTTCACTGTAGCACGTTACTTTGTCAAACTCATTAATCTATATGGAGAGAGACTCTCTTAAAGTCATGGTGTCCATTCATGTAGACTAAATGTCTGTCATAGTAGTATATTATTGGTATAAAATTATCAATACTAACTTGGTATGGCTTGGGAAAATAGTCAGTGACGGCACCAAAACTCGGAATATATGTCTTCCAGAGAGTTGGACTTCAACAGATAACAGTAAGGCTACATTTTACTACAAACAGACTACTTATTTCACCCTTGGTTATTTCTAAATGTTGCAACCATCAATCGATCCATCCATCTCTAAATATGTCCCAGAGATTGAAGCTCACTCACTTGTGTATTTGGAAGTAGTCTCACTCTTTCCTTCAGTGAGATTATCAGCAGCTACAGCAGTTACAGTTATTGTATACTGCTCACCAGCAGTCAGATTAGAAATGGTCAGAGATGTTTCAAACACATTTCTTTGGTGATTTATTCTTCCACCTTCCCATTGAACTCTATAGAAAGAGCTGCTTCCCGTTGGTTTTGTCCAGTTCACAGATAGAGATGATGTTGTTACATTAAAGACTCTGAGGGCTGTGACTACTTCAGGCTCTGTGAGCAAAAATTAGTATGTTGCAAACATTTTAAAAACAAAAGGATGAAAATCTTGTCAAAGTGTGACACTTAGTAGCAGGCTCATAATCTTACTTGTAAATCGACAAATGTTTCTCCTATCACTCTCTGTTTTGTTGTCTCCAGCCACAGCTGAGACATTAAAACAGTAGTTCTCTCCAGGAGTCAGCTCAGTCACAATCGCCTGAGTTCCACTAGTATTCAAATGTTTGTTTTCATTTTCCCACTTTACTGTATAAAACAGTCTTTTCCCCTCAGGTTCAGTCCAATTTAGAGACACAGAGGTAGTTGTTACCTCAGTCACATTAAGATTGTTGACTGCTTCAGGTTCTGTTCATGAAAGAGAAGTTCATGTAGACTAAATGTTAGTCAAAGTACTATATTAGATAGTATTTTTCAGATTATTTTTCACTGTAGCACGTTACTTTGTCAGAACTCATTAATCTATATGGAGAGAGACTCTCTGAAAGTCATGGTCTCCATTCATGTAGACTAAATGTCTGTCATAGTAGTATATTATTGGTATAAATTTATCAATAATAACTTGGGATGGCTGGGGAAAAAGTCAGACGGCACCAAAACTCGGAATATATGTCTTCCAGAGAGTTGGACTTCAACAGATAACAGTAAGGCTACATTTTACTACAAACAGACTACTTATTTCACCCTTGGTTATTTCTAAATGTTGCAACCATCAATCGATCCATCCATCTCTAAATATTTCCCAGAGATTGAAGCTCACTCACTTGTGTATTTGGAAGTAGTCTCACTCTTTCCTTCAGTGAGATTATCAGCAGCTACAGCAGTTACAGTTATTGTATACTGCTCACCAGCAGTCAGATTAGAAATGGTCAGAGATGTTTCAAACACATTTCTTTGGTGATTTATTCTTCCACCTTCCCATTGAACTCTATAGAAAGAGCTGCTTCCCGTTGGTTTTGTCCAGTTCACAGATAGAGATGATGTTGTTACATTAAAGACTGCGAGGGCTGTGACTACTTCAGGCTCTGTGAGCACAAATTAGTATGTTGCAAACATTTTAAAAACAAAAGGATGAAAATCTTGTCAAAGTGTGACACTTAGTAGCAGGCTCATAATCTTACTTGTAAATCGACAAATGTTTCTCCCATCACTCTCTGTTTTGTTGTCTCCAGCCACAGCTGAGACATTAAAACAGTAGTTCTCTCCAGGAGTCAGCTCAGTCACAATCGCCTGAGTTCCACTAGTATTCAAATGTTTGTTTTCATTTTCCCACTTTACTGTATAAAACAGTCTTTTCCCCTCAGGTTCAGTCCAATTCAGAGACACAGAGGTTGTTGTTACCTCAGTCACATTAAGATTGTTGACTGCTTCAGGTTCTGTTCAAGAAAGAGAAGTTCATGTAGACTAAATGTTAGTCAAAGTACTATAATAGATAATATTTTTCGGATTATTTTTCACTGTAGCACGTTACTTTGTCAGAACTCATAAATCTATATGGAGAGAGACTCTGAAAGTCATGGTCTCCATTCATGTAGACTAAATGTCTGTCATAGTACTATATTATTGGTATAAAATTATCAATAATAACTTGGGATGGCTGGGGAAAATAGTCAGTGACGGCACCAAAACTCGGAATATATGTCTTCCAGAGGTTGGACTTCAACAGATAACAGTAAGGCTACTTTTTACTACAGATAGACTACTTATTTCACCCTTGGTTTTTTCTAAATGTTGCAACCATCAATCGATCCATCCATCTCTAAATATGTCCCAGAGATTGAAGCTCACTCACTTGTGTATTTGGAAGTAGTCTCACTCTTTCCTTCAGTGAGATTATCAGCAGCTACAGCAGTTACAGTTATTGTATACTGCTCACCAGCAGTCAGATTAGAAATGGTCAGAGATGTTTCAAACACATTTCTTTGGTGATTTATTCTTCCACCTTCCCATTGAACTCTATAGAAAGAGCTGCTTCCCGTTGGTTTTGTCCAGTTCACAGATAGAGATGATGTTGTTACATTAAAGACTCTGAGGGCTGTGACTACTTCAGGCTCTGTGAGCAGAAATCAGTATGTTGCAAACATTTTAAAAACAAAACGATAAAAATCTTGTCAAAGTGTGACACTTAGTAGCAGGCTCATAATCTTACTTGTAAATCGACAAATGTTTCTCCCATCACTCTCTGTTTTGTTGTCTCCAGCCACAGCTGAGACATTAAAACAGTAGTTCTCTCCAGGAGTCAGCTCAGTCACAATCGCCTGAGTCTCACTAGTATTCAAATGTTTGTTTTCATTTTCCCACTTTACTGTATAAAACAGTCTTTTCCCCTCAGGTTCAGTCCAATTCAGAGACACAGAGGTTGTTGTTACCTCAGTCACATTAAGATTGTTGACTGCTTCAGGTTCTGTTCATGAAAGAGAGTTCATGTAGACTAAATGTCAGTCAAAGTACTATATTAGTATTTTTCGGATTATTTTTCACTGTAGCACGTTACTTTGTCAGAACTCATAAATCTATATGGAGAGAGACTCTCTGAAAGTCATGGTCTCCATTCATGTAGACTAAATGTCAGTCATAGTAGTATATTATTGGTATAAAATTATCAATAATAACTTGGGATGGCTGGGGAAAATAGTCAGTGACGGCACCAAAACTCGAATATATGTCTTCCAGAGAGTTGGACTTCAACAGATAACAGTAAGGCTACTTTTTACTACAGATAGACTACTTATTTCACCCTTGGTTATTTCTAAATGTTGCAACCATCAATCGACCCATCCATCTCTAAATATGTCCCAGAGATGAAGCTCACTCACTTGTGTATTTGGAAGTAGTCTCACTCTTTCCTTCAGTGAGATTATCAGCAGCTACAGCAGTTACAGTTATTGTATACTGCTCACCAGCAGTCAGATTAGAAATGGTCAGAGATGTTTCAAACACATTTCTTTGGTGATTTATTCTTCCACCTTCCCATTGACTCTATAGAAAGAGCTGCTTCCCGTTGGTTTTGTCCAGTTCACAGATAGAGATGATGTTGTTACATTAAAGACTGCGAGGGCTGTGACTACTTCAGGCTCTGTGAGCAAAAATTAGTATGTTGCAAACATTTTAAAAACAAAAGGATAAAAATCTTGTCAAAGTGTGACACTTAGTAGCAGGCTCATAATCTTACTTGTAAATCGACAAATGTTTCTCCCATCACTCTCTGTTTTTGTTGTCTCCAGCCACAGCTGAGACATTAAAACAGAAGTTCTCTCCAGGAGTCAGCTCAGTCACAATCGCCTGAGTTCCACTAGTATTCAAATGTTTTTGTTTTCATTTTCCCACTTTACTGTATAAAACAGTCTTTTCCCCTCAGGTTCAGTCCAATTCAGAGACACAGAGGTTGTTGTTACCTCAGTCACATTAAGATTGTTGACTGCTTCAGGTTCTGTTCAAGAAAGAGAAGTTCATGTAGACTAAATGTTAGTCAAAGTACTATAATAGATAATATTTTTCGGATTATTTTTCACTGTAGCACGTTACTTTGTCAGAACTCATTAATCTATATGGAGAGAGACTCTCTTAAAGTCATGGTGTCCATTCATGTAGACTAAATGTCTGTCATAGTAGTATATTATTGGTATAAAATTATCAATACTAACTTGGTATGGCTTGGGAAAATAGTCAGTGACGGCACCAAAACTCGGAATATATCTTCCAGAGAGTTGGACTTCAACAGATAACAGTAAGGCTACATTTACTACAAACAGACTACTTATTTCACCCTTGGTTATTTCTAAATGTTGCAACCATCAATCGATCCATCCATCTCTAAATATGTCCCAGAGATTGAAGCTCACTCACTTGTGTATTTGGAAGTAGTCTCACTCTTTCCTTCAGTGAGATTATCAGCAGCTACAGCAGTTACAGTTATTGTATACTGCTCACCAGCAGTCAGATTAGAAATGGTCAGAGATGTTTCAAACACATTTCTTTGGTGATTTATTCTTCCACCTTCCCATTGAACTCTATAGAAAGAGCTGCTTCCCGTTGGTTTTGTCCAGTTCACAGATAGAGATGATGTTGTTACATTAAAGACTCTGAGGGCTGTGACTACTTCAGGCTCTGTGAGCAAAAATTAGTATGTTGCAAACATTTTAAAAACAAAAGGATGAAAATCTTGTCAAAGTGTGACACTTAGTAGCAGGCTCATAATCTTACTTGTAAATCGACAAATGTTTCTCCTATCACTCTCTGTTTTGTTGTCTCCAGCCACAGCTGAGACATTAAAACAGTAGTTCTCTCCAGGAGTCAGCTCAGTCACAATCGCCTGAGTTCCACTAGTATTCAAATGTTTGTTTTCATTTTCCCACTTTACTGTATAAAACAGTCTTTTCCCCTCAGGTTCAGTCCAATTTAGAGACACAGAGGTAGTTGTTACCTCAGTCACATTAAGATTGTTGACTGCTTCAGGTTCTGTTCATGAAAGAGAAGTTCATGTAGACTAAATGTTAGTCAAAGTACTATATTAGATAGTATTTTTCAGATTATTTTTCACTGTAGCACGTTACTTTGTCAGAACTCATAAATCTATATGGAGAGAGACTCTCTGAAAGTCATGGTCTCCATTCATGTAGACTAAATGTCAGTCATAGTAGTATATTATTGGTATAAAAGTATCAATAATAACTTGGGATGACTGGGGAAAATAGTCAGTGACGGCACCAAAACTCGGAATATATGTATTCCAGAGAGTTGGACTTCAACAGATAACAGTAAGGCTACTTTTTACTACAGATAGACTACTTATTTCACCCTTGGTTATTTCTAAATGTTGCAACCATCAATCGACCCATCCATCTCTAAATATTTCCCAGAGATTGAAGCTCACTCACTTGTGTATTTGGAAGTAGTCTCACTCTTTCCTTCAGTGAGATTATCAGCAGCTACAGCAGTTACAGTTATTGTATACTGCTCACCAGCAGTCAGATTAGAAATGGTCAGAGATGTTTCAAACACATTTCTTTGGTGATTTATTCTTCCACCTTCCCATTGAACTCTATAGAAAGAGCTGCTTCCCGTTGGTTTTGTCCAGTTCACAGATAGAGATGATGTTGTTACATTAAAGACTGCGAGGGCTGTGACTACTTCAGGCTCTGTGAGCACAAATCAGTATGTTGCAAACATTTTAAAAACAAAAGGATGAAAATCTTGTCAAGTGTGACACTTAGTAGCAGGCTCATAATCTTACTTGTAAATCGACAAATGTTTCTCCCATCACTCTCTGTTTTGTTGTCTCCAGCCACAGCTGAGACATTAAAACAGTAGTTCTCTCCAGGAGTCAGCTCAGTCACAATCGCCTGAGTTCCACTAGTATTCAAATGTTTGTTTTCATTTTCCCACTTTACTGTATAAAACAGTCTTTTCCCCTCAGGTTCAGTCCAATTCAGAGACACAGAGGTAGTTGTTACCTCAGTCACATTAAGATTGTTGACTGCTTCAGGTTCTGTTCATGAAAGAGAAGTTCATGTAGACTAAATGTCAGTCAAAGTACTATATTAGTATTTTTCGGATTATTTTTCACTGTAGCACGTTACTTTGTCAGAACTCATAAATCCATATGGAGAGAGACTCTCTGAAAGTCATGGTCTCCATTCATGTAGACTAAATGTCTGTCATAGTTCTATATTATTGGTATAAAATTATCAATAATAACTTGGGATGGCTGGGGAAAATAGTCAGTGACGGCACCAAAACTCGGAATATATGTATTCCAGAGAGTTGGACTTCAACAGATAACAGTAAGGCTACTTTTTACTACAAACAGACTACTTATTTCACCCTTGGTTATTTCTAAATGTTGCAACCATCAATCGATCCATCCATCTCTAAATATGTCCCAAAGATTGAAGCTCACTTACTTGTGTATTTGGAAGTAGTCTCACTCTTTCCTTCAGTGAGATTATCAGCAGCTACAGCAGTTACAGTTATTGTATACTGCTCACCAGCAGTCAGATTAGAAATGGTCAGAGATGTTTCAAACACATTTCTTTGGCCATTTATTCTTCCACCTTCCCATTGAACTCTATAGAAAGAGCTGCTTCCCATTGGTTTTGTCCAGTTCACAGATAGAGATGATGTTGTTACATCATAGACCCCGAGGGCTGTGACTACTTCAGGCTCTGTGAGCACAAATCAGTATGTTGCAAACATTTTAAAAACAAAACGATAAAAATCTTGTCAAAGTGTGACACTTAGTAGCAGGCTCATAATCTTACTTGTAAATCGACAAATGTTTCTCCTATCACTCTCTGTTTTGTTGTCTCCAGCCAAAGCTGTGACATAAAAACAGTAGTTCTCTCCAGGAGTCAGCTCAGTCACAATCGCCTGAGTTCCACTAGTATTCAAATGTTTGTTTTCATTTTCCCACTTTACTGTATAAAACAGTCTTTTCCCCTCAGGTTCAGTCCAATTCAGAGACACAGAGGTTGTTGTTACCTCAGTCACATTAAGATTGTTGACTGCTTCAGGTTCTGTTCATGAAAGAGAAGTTCATGTAGACTAAATGTCAGTCATAGTTCTATATTAGATTGTATTATAGCACTTTTCGTATTATTTTTCACCGTTGCACGTTACTTTGTCAGAACTCCTAAAATCTATATGGAGAGAGACTCTCTGAAAGTCATGGTCTCCATTCATCCATCTAGTATAAAGTTATCAATAATAACTTGGGATGGCTGTGGAAAATAGTCAGTGACGGCACCAAAGCTCGGAAAATATGTCTGCCAGAGAGTTGGACTTCGACAGATAACAGTAAGGCTACATTTTACTACAGACAGACTACTTATTTCACCCTTGGTTATTTCTAAATGTTGCAACCATCAATCGATCCATCCATCTCTAAATATGTCCCAAAGATTGAAGCTCACTTACTTGTGTATTTGGAAGTAGTCTCACTCTTTCCTTCAGTGAGATTATCAGCAGCTACAGCAGTTACAGTTATTGTATACTGCTCACCAGCAGTCAGATTAGAAATGGTCAGAGATGTTTCAAACACATTTCTTTGGTCATTTATTATTCCACCTTGCCATTGAACTCTATAGAAAGAGCTGCTTCCCGTTGGTTTTGTCCAGTTCACAGATAGAGATGATGTTGTTTCATTAAAGACTCCGAGGGCTGTGACTACTTCAGGCTCTGTGAGCAAAATGATGAAAAACTTGTCAAGGTGTGACACTTAGCAGGCTCATAATCTTACTTGTAAATCAACAAATGTTTCTCTCATCACTCTCTGTTTTTTTGTCTTTCACCTTTTGCACACAGTTAAAGAAAAATATAAATGTGGACTTACTTGTGTAGACAGTCTTTGTGTTAGGAAGTCCTTCAGTGACATTATCATTTGCAACAACAGTAACTGTTATATTGTACTGAACCCCAGGATCTAGTCCTGTGATGCTTTTGAAATTTTCTGTTACTGTTTCATTGCTGGTAATTGTTCCATTTTTCCAGTATACTCGGTAGCGTGCATCTTCTGTTTTATTCCAGATCACTTTCACAGAGGATGTTGTGATACTTTCCACGAAGAGATTTGACACATTTCCAGGTGCTGTGAACCAAAGCAAAGTGACAGTACCAATTTGTATTATTGTCTATTTTTACATAATAGCACTTATTTCATCAGGACATTCAGAAATATAATTGTTAAAAGAAAAAAACCAAAAAAGTACAGTCCTTTGCCTTCTTCAGGGCATGACACAGTACAAAGTAACCAGGTTACGGTTATTTTGTACTGTGTCATGTGGACAGATTTCACTTTAGGGGCTCATGCTAGTTACCATTAGATGTTAACACACCTTTAATTCTAGTTGTTTGTTCAGCTGTCGTGGTTGTAGGGACAGCCATCGTGGTTGTTGGGGCAGCCGTCATGGTTGTTGGGGCAGCCGTCATGGTTGTTGGGGCAGCCGTCATGGTTGTAGGGGCAGCCGTCATGGTTGTTGGGGCAGCCGTCATGGTTGTTGGGGCAGCCGTCATGGTTGTAGGGGCAGCCGTCATGGTTGTAGGGGCAGCCGTCATGGTTGTAGGGGCAGCCGTCATGGTTGTAGGGGCAGCCGTCATGGTTGTAGGGGCAGCCGTCGGATTTGTAGGGGCAGCCGTCGGATTTGTAGGGGCAGCCGTCGTATTTGTAGGGGCAGCTGTCGTATTTGTAGGGGCAGCTGTTATTGTGGTTGTAAATGCAGCTGTTATTGTGGTTGCTGTGGTTGTAGGTGCAGCTGTTATTGTTGTTGCTGTGGTTGAAGGGGAAGCAGTTATTGTGGTTACTGTGTTTGTTGAGGCAGCTGTTACTGTGGTTGCTGGGATTGTAGGTCCAGCTGTGAAAGTTGTTGGTGCAGAGGTTGAAGTTGTTGGTGCAGCGGCTGAAGTTGTTGGTGCAGCGGGTGAAGTTGTTGGTGCAGCGGGTGAAGTTGTTGGTGCAGCGGGTGAAGTTGTTGGTGCAGCGGGTGAAGTTGTTGGTGCAGTGGTTAAAGTTGTTGGTGCAGCGGGTGAAGTTGTTGGTGCAGTGGTTAAAGTTGTTGGTGCAGCGGCGGAAGTTGTTGGTGCAGTGGTTAAAGTTGTTGGTGCAGCGGCTGAAGTTGTTGGTGCAGTGGTTAAAGTTGTTGGTGCAGCGGCTGAAGTTGTTGGTGCAGCGGCGGAAGTTGTTGGTGCAGCGGCGGAAGTTGTTGGTGCAGCGGCGGAAGTTGTTGGTGCAGCGGCGGAAGTTATTGGCGCAGCGGTTAAAGTTGTTGATGCAGCGGCTGAAGTTGTTGATGCAGCGGCTGAAGTTGTTGGCGCAGCAGTTAAAGTTGTTGGTGCAGCTGTTGCTGTGCTAACAACTGCACCAACAGCTGTTGCGGTTGTAGGAACAAGTGTTGCCATGGTTGTAGTTGGAGAGGTTGTTTCGATAGTAGTGGTGGTTGCGGCTAGAGCTGTTGCTGTGGTTTGTGTTGGAGCTGGTGTAGCTATATTTTCCAATTAATAAAGCAAAAAAGATGAGCACAAGAAGAAAAGCAACAGCAAATAAAAGCAGTGAAAATGTGTTTTAAGAGCACTTTAAGATCTTGGGTGGTAACTGTTTTGCTAACTTAATAAAGTTAGCAATTTAAACTCCAATAATGTGCTGCAAGTGAAATTTTGTCAATAAATAGAAAGAAAAAAAGCAAGCAGTTGATACCAAAACATGAGAAAAAGTCGTACTTACAATTCTGAGCCTGAATGTTCTGCAATAAAAGACAAAAAAAAAAAAAAAAAACAGGTGAAGCAACTTTGACCACGAGGGGGCAGCATTTCATTACAAAAAGAGACCACCAACTTTAGATCAAACCACTTGTTCAATGTTACAGTGAGCTGAATAATTTTACAATTGCTGCCTAAAACATGGCAAAAAATACTTAAAAACTGAATTACATATATTTAATTAGTTTCTTCTAAATTATGTCTTTGTAACTGGAGATCTTCCATTTAAATATGAATGTGGCATTTTTCCATCATGTTGACCAAATGCAGAACAAAAAAATAACCTTCCTTCATGATCTTTAGTGATTCAAGTGTAGACATTGTTTTATAAGTTAGGTGCCCTGCATATTTTTGGTATACAAATTGATTATTTTAATTAAGTGGAAGCTATCTGAAGCAGACTGGCTTTACATAGCTTGTCAGCCTGCTTCTTTAGTTTTGATCTGGAAAACAGTTACCTATTCTAAGTGACCAGGTGTATAAACGGAAAAATATAACAAACTATTATTAACAGAGGAAACACTTCAGATATTATGAAATTTTGCTCATTTTATTCTTAATCTTTAGTTATAAAATGTCCACAATAGAGAAGAACAGTATATTATCAGCATATAGGCTAATTTGTAGAGTGAAATGATCTATTTTAATTTCATTTATATCATCTAGTCAAACAACTGAGAAGGGTTTAGTAAGGGCAACAAAAATTTATGAGGAAGAAAACTTTAAAATTGTGTATGTATGTAATGCAACTATATTTTATCTTTTTGTATATTTCTGGTGAATAATTTGATTAATAATAATAAAAGAAAAGTAGTATAACATGGTGGTAATTAGTTACAGCAGTTAAAGTTCTTGGTGCAGCGGCTGAAGTTGTTGGTGCAACAACTTTAACAATCAATCTAATCATTGATTGTCTAATGTTTCATTAAACAATCAAACATTAGCTAGACTGAAGCAGACAACTTTTTTTAACTTGAATGTTTGACATAGAAGTAACAATTAGTTTTGTATTTAAAAATTGTTCCCGGTTAAAATGATTTTGATTCATCAACACAATTTATTGAATAATACTTTAAATTTGGATAATCAAAGCAAAAAAAACAATAAAGAATTGTTAAAAGTTTAATAGAAATACTGACGACATACATCAAGCTTCCCAGAAAAAAAAAAAATCAGTCTTTTGCATGGCAGAAGAAACTCTGAGCTCTATTGCTGAGGAGAATGTGACATTACAAGAAAACAAAAATCTGTGTTTGTGAGTGGACTAACAAAAAATTAAGATCATCAAAATAATTATTTGGAAAATTGCAGCTAACAATAAGGACCCTTGAATGTGCAACATTACATCTTGGTTATCTTATGCAACAACCTCAGAACTGCAACTTCACACGCTCCTGTGTCCACCTTACCTTCAGATTTGCTCTAGTAATAGGGAAGAGCACATGGTGCTGATTACATATTAATTATTAGCTAAAATTCAAACAAGCCTTCCAGACTGTTTGCTTCTCTGCCGAACATTAAACACATGGCATCACCACTAAAACCTGTGTCTTTCTCCCCCAAACAAAGAATGCAAAGAAAAGAGAATTATCAGCCTGCAGCAATGATACGTGACTGAGGGTGTTTTATATTTTATGATAACAGTAAACCAATTGTAATTTCAGATAAAAAATTGTTTATCCTATTTTAGTGGGATCAAATAGGGAAAAAAAATGATTTGACAAAAATATTGTGAAGACCAGAATCTCAAGCACATTCTAGACCTGTGAATCCCATTTCAGAAGTTTACATTTTGCATTAAATGTTCCCGCATCAATCAAGGTCTGAAGGCTGGTAATGCCTGGCCTTAATCCTCCCCTTCAGAGGGAAATTATTCCACTGTCTGCAAAACAAAATTTTCGCACTGTCCTGCTCCAGGAGTTTATTTGTTTGGCCAACTGTGAAACTAAATTCATCTGACAACTTTGTACTTTCGAATGAGGACAAGCTTAAGTGAGAAGAGGTGTGAGACTGTAACATCAGCTGGAATTTTTTTTTTTTCCCCCACATATAAGCGCTTCACTCTGATTGCAGACGTCAAGGTGCTGCAGACAGTAATTATGACATATTGAACGAGGGATTTTTGTACTCTGTACTATTCCTATCCGTCAGACTCCAACCAGTCACAGCAGATGGGTACAAAATCATACTGAACCTGGCTCCCTTGGAAGTTTCCTCTAGCTAAAATGGAGTTGTTATTCTCTATTACACTATTATCCTTTGGCTCAGCGATTGCTGAAAACTCAATAGTTCCTGAGTTGCACAAATGAAGAAGTCAGGGTCCCGCATCAGCTAAAATATGTAGGACCAAATCCAGTTTGAAGCTGAAGTACTGAGTCGAAAACTCTAAAACAAGACTAAGAACATATGCATGGCGAATAAGAGGGTAAGATTTATAATTCAAATTTACAGCATTTACTTGACAAACATTGGGATTGTTACACTGACATTTACAGTGTTGAAAAGAATGGCATTGGCAGACCTCTGAGAGACATTGTCAATACAGCACCATGCTTTCTGTGACGCTGCCCTGCCAGCTTCATTTCTGAAAGAGAACAACTGTGCAGGTTATCACCATTTCACTGTGTAATGTGAAATGGTGATGAGAGGCATGTTAATGATGTAAATGTTTTGTAAAACCTGCTAATGGTAACGGGTTCCAATTAGCATTTCATGAATAATTGAATTTGGCTGCATTACAACATTTAGATAAAACTGAAATATCTGTAATGGGATTGAGTGGGAATTACATTATTGAGTTATTTGGGAGTAAGAACATATGCCACTTTTTGTCCAATGACCACTGGAGGTCGTCTAAAAGTCTGCAAGGATAAGCAGGGGCTTTTTTCCTCTCACAAGTACTGGACACAACTAAACCTTTCAATTCAAATTATAATATTTCATAGAGTTTTGAAAAATCCTCTTGATCCCTTATGGTCTTATTCAGTCTTTTTTTTAATGAAAACAAGGTAAATGCTCTGTTTGTTTCAGGTTATTCTAACATTGATTTGTGTGTGCATGTCTTAGAACTCTTAGACTTTAGCATTAGCGAAATTAGCTGGGAAATTCTTTTGGAAAAACATGCAGCACTGGGACTGAGCCAGTGTCCCAGTGCTGATCTCTACGGTATCAGTGCCCTTTGACTGTGCCTGTCTGCGGGAGTGGGAGGAGAAGAAAATAGCTTTACTGACCACTATGTAAACATTACATCATCCTTAAAGGCCGCCTGCCTTCCTCTGATTCCCTCAGACTCCTAAGTCAGCCTCTCGATAACATCCAGATTCCTTCCTGAATAACAGTCGAGAACTCACCTTCAAGGCTGTTTGTTCTGGGTTCAGCCCTTAAACACAGACTTGATCTGAGAATGTTGAACAAAAGAAAAATCTACAAAAAATGGGGGGTACGTTCTCCATTAATCATGTTTCAGTCTTAACTAAGTGTGGGTAACTTTGGGCAAGTGTTCCTTACAAAGAGAGCAAAGAACAGGAAAAGCTACAAAAGTTTTTCAAAAATGGTATGAGGTAAAAGTTGGGAAAAAAACTGGTTTGAGGTTTTCAAGATCATTACAAAATTGCACAAGAAATCATTTTATTCAAGTGTTTTGTACCTGTGCCACATCTAAAAACTGCAGGGCAGTGGCCCTTGAGGCCTGGAGTTTGACACCCCTGACCTAAATCAACTCCTACTGATCATTGAAAATAATGAAGAACACAGGTGAGCTACACCATCACATTATCACACACCTGTAATCATTCATTGGGCATCTAATAAAGAAAAATAAGTAGTCAAAGAAACAAAATTAATTTGAAATGTCATTTTCTTTTCATCTAGTTTGTGACAAAAAACTCGAGTATAACTCGGGGAGATGTCATTCACAGATCCAATCTCCAACTTCCAATATAAAAACAAAACTTCAGACCCAGTTGTTAACATCTTCCCTTGTTATGTATCTTTAGACCAAAAGCTGAATGAACATAGCTCACCCTGGTGAGGAATGTACGGTAGATTGAAGTGCAAAAAGTAGACTTTTCTAAATATGAATCCCTACAATCTATATGTTCAAAAGGTGGAAAGCTGTTGATCATGACGATGGATCTGCTTTGCACTAAATTCATCAACAAAACTGGCTCTGATAGTGAGAAAAACATCAAGGGAGAAAAGGTTATGCTGAAATGGTTCACAGACACATTACACCTGATTACACCTTACGCAATGCATAAAAATAGGCACTGCTGTAGAACCTTTTCAATAATATATGACTAATAAATTTTTATAAAACTATTACATTATCGTCTTGCCGTTGCGTAGGCATGGATTGGCAGAGGTAATGCTATTAAACACTTTGGTATTAACTAGTCAGGTGTCAGTTGTGGTTTTAGGCCTACTATCAGCTGCTTGACAAATAAGCTACTTATACCTTTTAAAACAGGTTTATCTTAATAAAATGTGATGGGTGGAAAAACTTTAGCTTCCCCAGAGATTTCTTAAGATATTTCCAAACAGCTAAGTTGTTCTTCTTTGTAAGCAGGGGAAATTAACAACTGACCTTTTCAATTTTTTGCTTGATACGGTTAGATGTATAGTAATGGAAGTATTCTAAAAAAAAAAAAAAAAAAGGACATTTAAAACACTTGAAATCCACTGTTTCTGGGGGATTTCAAAATGTCAGCAAATTTTAGACAAGTCCATCCAGGTGCATGCTATGCTGTTGCATGAGTCAAGGCACAAGCAATGGGAAATGTAAAAAGCTGTAGTTTTTTTTTTAGTAAAATAGTTTAAAAAAGGTGAAGAAATATGAAGTTTTTTATATGTAGGTGGAAAGCATTCACCTCACTCTTTAGCAAATCCCCAAGTTTTAAACGGAACATCACTAACGTTTGTTTCAATCGACACACTTTTTAACTTCCTTCAACTGAATTATGCTTCATGCAACATGCATTTGAAA